GAAATTAAACAAGAGAAATATATTTGAAAGCAGTAAATGAAAATGATTTGAATCAAAACATTACAATGCTCATTTCATTAAACTTAACATGAAAGTACAAAAAATATTTGAAAGCAACGGTTTTAACATAAACAAGGGAAAATGCAAACAGAAAGAAAGATGGCCTAGTGACTAATCAGTAACAAGGATGAGTTGTCCTGTCTGAAACACTGGCTTTAGGAAGTGACTTGAGGGTACCCTAACTCAGTCTTTAGCCACTTTGTTTTGGCAAAGTATTGTCGATAACATTAGGACATGTCTCCCTTGAAGTGAGAATATTTGCTTTCACCAATTCTTGCACTCTGTTTTTCAATGCATAGCAGCTTTCTAAATCATGATTGGCAGCTCCCTGATGAAATTCACAATGAAGGTCAGATCTAAACCCGGCTGGAGGAAGATTTCAAGGAATCATAGGCCTAGTTGTAATCAAGCCCTTCCGCACCATTGCATGATAAAATTCAGTGTTTGTCATAGGGATGGGATCAAATTGAGCCCTATTCCCTACATAACAAATCGTATTCTGCACAATATTCTGTTGTTGAGGGACCTGAACTGGTTGAGCATTGACCACAGAAGTAACATATGCTACTTGTGATTGATCAATGTATTGAGGCCTACAGCGGGGCCCTCTTCTCTCAGTCGAGACAACATTGGCTTCTACCTCTTTCTTCTTCTGAAAGTTCCCAAGGTATTTCTATGCACCATTAGAAGATTCAGCAGCTTTAGACACTTTACTATTCTTGATTCCTTCTTCTAATATTTGGCCAATAGTCATCAGGTATGTGAAGCTGGAGGACACACTACCAATCACCTTCTCCCAAAAGAAAGCGGACAAAGTATCCATGAACAGTCCAGTTAGCTCTTTCTCTTCCAGAGGTGGTTCAACTTGAGATGATTGTTCTCTCCATCATTGAGCATATTCCTTGAAAGCTTCTTTCTCATTCTGAGACATATTTTGCAGTTGGCGACAATCAGGTGCCATGTCAAGGTTGTATTTATATTGCTTTATGAAAGCATCAACAATATCTTGGAAGCATTGGATACGGCCTTTCTCAAGTCCCATAAACCATTTCAATGAAGCTCCACTCAGACTATCTTGGAAACAATGGATAAAAAATTTATCATTCTTTGTGTAAGCAGACATCTTTCGAAAGTACATCACCAAATGACTTCTTGGACAAGTGTGCCCCCGGTATTTCTCAAACTCGGGAGTCTTGAACTTTGCAGGCATAACCAGATCAGAAACTAGACACATGTTATTAGCATCAACACTAAAGAACTCATTTCCTTCCATAGCTCTAAGTCTCTTCTCTAAAGTCTAATATTGTTTCTTGAACTCTTCAAGTTCACCAAAGTCTCCTTGACTCACACTTTGAGGACTTGAAGCATGGTACTCAAAGAGAGGGTTCCCAAATGCAGCTTGTGCGGCAGGTTGATGAGATGCAGTATGAACGATTGGTTAAGGTTCAGTGAAAATCTGAGCTTGAAAGACTGGTCGGGTAGACTGGCCAACCATTAAAGTAATTGCAACAGGCGGGGAGTAATTCTGAGGTAACCCAAACTCTGGCCATGTAGTAGATGTATGCTGGATAGGTTGAGTGTCAACAGCAACACTTGGGATTTAAGATATCACGGTCTTTTAAGGTGGCTCTCCTCTAAAAATAAGGACTTGCATCATCTAAGTAAGTTTGGCCATGACTGACTTCAACTCGTCGATTTCCATTCTGACTTCCATGTTGTGTTGTTCTTGGTTTTCCATTCTCAATCTAACATCAGCTCTAGTCCCGTAGTTGTGTTGAGGAATCATCTTGACGATAGACAACTAACTGGAAGAAAGAAGCAACTGGGAATAAGATCGTGAACAACCTGGATGTATGCAGAATGATGCAGAGGATGCAAATGATATGCAATGTTATGCAATTCACTATACAGTAACAAGATCACATGATTCAGAGTCACGAGCCTGGAGTCAAAGGTAGAACCCATAAGGTATGGACTAACGGTTATCACCTGCCGAATAAGGTTCTAAGAGGTTTCTAGAGTCTACGTCCTTCCTTCGGATATTACCAACGTTCTGATTAACTCGGTAATTAGTAATATTCTCAAGAAAAACTTGTCTGAGCGTAGTATCGCGTGACAACTATTTCTGGATTACTCCGTCATAGTTTCTGCACTACACCGAAAAGGCCAAGTTGGGTTAAAGGTTCAACGGTCCTCAGCTTCAGTAGGCTCCCAGGTCGAAAGTAGTACGTCTTCCTGATTACTCGCAAAACGATACTAAAGTCAAAGGGGCCTCCACTGAGTGGGGGATCTCATGTCTCCTTTTTTGGGATTACTCCCTCAAAGTTAACATAACTATACCGCCCGTCCTATCTTAGGTTTGCCCAAGTCCGGGTAGAGGACTTATAAGAAATCACCAAGCCCCTGAAAACCAGGAAAATCCAGACAAACATATATAGAATATAATGGGAAGTAATAAACAACAAGTAAAACAATATATAAACACTCATAGGAAAGAAACAAACAAAGCTAGGATTGACCCACTTAGGAATGGACCAACAATAGGTCAATCTGTCCCCAGTGAAGTCGCCACTTTCCTGTCGCACGTGCGCCATCGGTAAAGACGAGCAGAGATGAACAAGACACGATAGTAATGATAGGAAAAGAAATGTAGCGGTAAAGATTTGAGATTAAGCCATCAATTGAATTATCTCAACACAATGAAGTCGCCATCGCACTTTATTGTTTCCAAAGGGAAATGGGAAAAAAGCGAACAAAACCCATAATGAAATAAGATATCAGAGATGGAGGTACAGGGGTTGGTTATGCAAAGGGAAGGTGTTAGAACCCCAAGCATATACGGTACTCCGCAGGATCCACTTTGTTTGGTTTATTTTAAAAGGAGTGTCATGTAAAGGTTTACTTGCTAAAGGAAAAGAATAAATATTTATTTGCAAACAAAAGAAAATGAAATCTTTTTTATTATTTTTTGTTTCTCGCCTTGGGTCGTAAGACTTAGTGCCTACATACTCCCTCGTGTAATAGGAAAGTCAGAGCACCGTAGTTCGGCTAGAAAAGACTTCTCTGTTGATTGATTTTAAACAAAGATACAAGTCGTCATTGTTAGGAGAGAAATCTCGACTAACGCCCACAAGGTATGGGAAAGATAGACCCTGCATCAGCAAGAGTGAGGGTTTGAGAACGCCTCTAGCACTCAAGTGGAAAAGTCGACACCTTTATAACCATGGGGATAGGAGAATATTGCTCGACTATCAATGAATCATGTCTCATCTTGAAAAAGGTTTGAATGGGTAAAGGTGTTCGAGCGCACAAAAGAGTTTGACTGAGTTGAATTATTTTTGTTAATTTTGAAAGATGTCGAAGTATGATTAAGTGAATTGAAGTTTGTTTAAAGAAAATAAGTTTTAAAAGAAAAGGAACTCAACAAAGTCGAGGTTTATTATGAAAGCGGTTCGAGTTTATAAACAAAGAAGATTTTGAAAATGATGAGAAAATTAAAGAATGGGAGAAAAGAAGATAGTATCCTATGTACAGGAGGGTAATAAATAAGGTAAGGAGAATTCAACCGAATAAGAAACCAGTACTTGACATGATGAAGTCAATAATGTGTTCTCATCCCTTTAGATTTAAAGCCACAAACAAAAAAATAGGCTAAGAGTATACCAAACCTCAGGTGAAAATAAATCACAAGTCGCCAGCATCAAAAAACCAGATGTAAGATAATACTCCAAGCAGAGAATAAAGCGCAATGAATCACAACGCATGAAAATAAATCACGAATGAAGAAGGCATGGATAAAGCTCTGGTACTGGATAAGGCTCAAGATATTGAATAAAGCTCACGGTATAAAATTCCCTGCATCACATAAAATATACAGACAAAACTAACAGCACGGGAAAAATTATATACATTCGTACGATTTTCAAAAGTTAATTGAAATTAAAATTTAAAATCATAACGCAATGAAAATAATATTTGCATAACCTGAATTTATTTACAAATGAAGTGAATAAAATATACAGTCAAAATATTATGTACAAGTATATATTTACAGTACCAAATATTAAATCAGAATAGTAAAATACAATAAAAATGTAAAAGGGAGAAGTGTAGGAATTGTGGACGCGCTATGCGGGAATGAATACTTGAAACAATTTTTTGGAAACCTTCACAGTAACAAACGCGTTAGTAGCATAAGCGCTATAAAAATAAAATGAAGGAAATTGCAACAATTAAAAATCTATGTTAGTAATCACAAAAAATGAACTTGTATGATGCATATGAACAAATGAATATTCACACAAATCAAAATCAAGAACTCGTGAGAAAAATCAAGCTTAAATCAAGCATTATCAAAAGTTGGACAGCAATAAATTATGCATAAAAAGCTCATGAAAATCAATTTCCAAGTGATTTCAAACTTATGTACAAACACTAATATTGAACCAACAAACTTTGTGAATTGAATTCAACTTGAAATTTAATCAAAAAATGACTCAAACAACAAGACAATATCAACAACGACAATTCAAAATTAATCAACTAATGTCATTTCACATTGAGTTCAAAAGTGATTAAAAAATAAGTTTTGAGTGCAAGTTTCAACAAGGATAAATCCGGACAGCATAACAGTAACAAATTCTTCATCACAATTTAACATGAACAAACCAGAATTTTCATACAAGTTTGACACAAACATTACCAAGAACTTCACTCATATCTACCATTAAACCCTTGCATATTACAAACAAAACATCACAGCATAACCAATTTTCATATTTAAACTCAAGAAATAATCATGGTAGCATAACGGTTCCTACTCAAACAGTTTGAGGTTAAATAATTACCAACCAAGTTCTTCAATTATAATTCACAGAATAATCAAAACAGCATAACAGCTACAAGTAAAAGAAATTAAAAGTTACCGAATAATTTGCGAAATGTCGAAGTTGTTGACAGTGGCAGATGTGCGCGGACAGAGGGAGGCTTTAGCTGGCAATCACGAGGAAAATAGTTGCGATATCAGCCGAGGCAGTAGTGGTAGAGGAAATTCGAGCGAAGTTGCTGCAAATAGCGATACTGAATCAAAGCTGAGTTGTGATGGCGTTGGATAACATTGTTGCTGTTTTGTAAGGAATTGCAGGGGTATGGTGATTTTGCGGGTTGCAGTTTATGAAAAGGTGAGTTACAGCTTGCGGAAAGACGAGTTGTTGAGGGTAGATCGCGGTTGTTGTGATGTGAGAATGTGAGTTACAGTGAAGATGAAGGGGTTACAGAAGGTAATTGTTTGGAGATGTATACTAGCGGGAACAAAAGGGAATGGATGATGTGGATTGAAGGTGAATCGCGGTTGATGGTGTTGGTTTGATAAAAGAAACAGAGAGAAAGGGTAGCTAGTGGTATAGTATGCTGCGAAATTGATGAGGATGAAGGTTAGGTTGATGGAGATATACAAAGGGAGGAATATGCTAACGATTTCTTGTGAAATTGATGCGAGTGAAGGAGATGAGTTGCTGGAATTTGTTGATGTTGTTGGAGATGAGCGGAAAATTGAAGGAGAGGCGGATTGTGGAGAAGATTAAGGGAGATGCGGTGTGTTTGATGAGGAAATTGGGAAGTAGTAGGTTGTTGTGGCAGTTTAGAGATGAGGTTGGTGTGACGGTATGAAATTGAAGGGTTTCGGGGAATTGAGATGGTGAAGGTTTGGATGTTGCGGAAAGAGAGGAAGCGGAATAGAAAGGGTTAATTGAAGAAGTTAACAGTATGAAGGGTGTTGAATGGAGGAAGATTTGTGGATACTGTGTTGTATTTTTTATTGTGAATTACAAAGAGAATTGAACTCTTTAAATAGGACAATGAAGATAAAAATTATGATTTCAAATTAATCATGTTCATTGAATATTTCTTGCACTTGTATTAAACCGCAATTAGTGCTATCAACCAATAGGAATAAAGCAAGGTGTAATCAATATAATTTTGTGACTAAAAAGCCCCTTAATGACAAAAACAACCAAAAAAATGAAAGTATAAAAATTAAATCAATTTAAAATAATTTTTTTGAATTTTTCCTGAATAAAAAATAAAGACTTAAAATGACTAAAAATGATTAAAAAAATAGACGAAAATTTATCCGAAAAAATAAAATGAACACATTAAAATAAACTACATATCACACAGATTAAAGAAAAAATATTCAAAAAGTCAAAATCGAAATAAAATGATAATAAAATTATCAGGCTGAACAGATATTTACGGTTAAAAACGAGACTTCAAACAGTACCGAAAAAATAAAGCGAGCATACTGTCATAATCTACGCGAAACGCGGATTCATAAAATGATCGGTAAAAGGTGAAAACTTGAAATGTTTTTCTCGCTAATTTTTCTGTACAGTGTCGAATTGCTTTTAACAGTTTGTCTGTAAAACCGATATATTAATATTATCGACATATAAACAACTTGGAGCAATGCAAGAAATGAGTAAAGAGATAAAAATGCATGAAGTGAAATGTCGGGTATATTTTTCAACTATAGAATGATGCAAATGTTGATTTAAACTGATTTTTGGTCAACTTAAACACGATTAAATGATACAAAATATGATGAATGAAAATATCTATTAATGGTTGTGACCAAATAACAAAATATGATATGAAAGTGCGACTGAAAAAATTAGGGGTGAAATTTAGGGTATAACACTCTATCATTCACGATTTCAGCCACATCTTGAAATCTATATATGATCTTCATTTGACAACTCACCTCTTGTAGTTCTCACCTTTGAAAACCGATAGATTCGTTAGAAATTACATTGATGTGTTTTCGTTTGTCATTACATATTCTCTCTGAATCGCAACTCGGACTCGTTGATTACAATTTGCTGGAACAATTAGGATTTTCAAGAAAGATGAGGAGGAAGAAGAAGAAAAGAAGAAGAAGAAGAAGAAGAGAGAGAAAAGTGTTAAAATAAAATATTATTATGAAGTTGCTTCTTTTAGTTACCACGTAACAATGCCTATTTATAGGCAACCAAAACTCAAGCCCAAAACACTTAAAATTATACTTCAACCTATATATATATATATATATATATATATATATATATATATATATATATATATATATATATATATATATATATATATATATATATATATATATATATATATGACGCGTTCGACTCTGTCAAATACAGTTGACTTTACAGTTACTTCAACTAGGTTACACAACTTTGTTGAACGCAAACTACTTAATGAAATCATAAATTACATTTTCTAACAAAAACAATCAATAAAAAACCACAACAACTAGTTAACCATATCGACAAACACATGTTAGATCTCAAACCAATCAAATTTAAATTGTGAATCCATCACCACACTTAGATAGAGGACAAACACTCGACCCACTTATTAAATTCTAAAGTTAATCTATGTGAGTGCAAGAGGACCCGAAAACCATTTCCAAACCAATAAAGTATAGGTTTGGTTCAATTTTTTTCATTCAACGCACCATAAAATTATAAAACTCCAAAGAATAATTTTTGCAAAAAACATGCATCTAGAACAATTCCACCACTGAAACAAACATACTAAAAATACTATTCTCCTCTACTTCTTTCATAGATTCTATAACTTCATTAAAAATAACATTGCTTAGCACTTTTCAAATAAACCACTTTACCGTGTGTGAGACCATAACTCTCTCACCTAAAGAAAGAAAAAGCATAGGCTCAATTGCCAATAAAACAACAACATAGGACCGTGGTCCAACCCAACAAAATTGAGTGGTATTTTGCGTGGCTGGTAACAAATTTCATACTACAAAACCAGCCAACGCATTGGCATGTGATTTCCTGTGATATTATAGTCTGACACGTTCAAAACAATGTTGTAGTTTATCGTTACAATAGTAATTGAAGACAAATTGAATTTGACAACTCAATTCACTAGCATCTTCAACACAGCAACTTGTAAGGTTTTGGTTGGATTTACTCAGCCATGTAGGCATTACAAATTTCATCATTATCAATATTCATTCCAATTCAAGTGTTATTTTTCTCTCTAAATTATTAGATCTGACTAAGTCATATGCTAAAAACTGACACCGCTCAATAATAAGACAAACTGGATAAAGACATAAAATACCCCAATCATTGAATTTTAGCCAATCAATCAATGGTAGTGCTGTCAACAATTTATCCAAAAAAAAATAATATTAGAGTAAATGTTGATTAAACTACTAGTAATCATTCAATAAGTAGCAGATTAAGTCGAACTCTTGAGATCTATCTAGCATGGAGATCTTATCTTCACAAATAATGGTGTCTCCACCAGATGGCATTTTGGCAATATTCACCTAACAATATATAATTATACGACATAATGACATTCAAAATTTGTTACTATTTTCAATATTTTGCAAAATCAATTATAATAATCATGCGTTACGTTTCTGTACTAGAACCTTCCCTTTACCACACACAGACACAGAGACATGTACATGTACATAGTGTGTTGTCAATTCTATCCTTCCACGTGATACTGACTGACCAATTTGTTTGTAAACATAAAAATGTTACTCTTCTGCATGTTTGTTTATATATTGTCCAAAAACATTGCTTTAAAGCAATTGTCTCCTATAAGATAGTTTGAAGAAGGTATAGGTAAAGAACATCTGAAAATGGGTGTTTTAGATGGTTATTTTCCTGTAATGGTTATGATAGGGTTACAGTTTCATTATGCACTGCTTGCAATGTTTACAAGAGCTGCTCTACTAGATGGATTGACTCCAACTGTCTTTGTAGTGTATAGGCAAGGCATAGCCACTTTGTCATTGGCACCTATCATTTTTTCGTCTTATAAAAGGTAAATATATAACTATTTTCCCTCTCTTAAGCAATTATTCTTATTCTAACTCCTCGTATATATCATATATGCTTGGTTTTTTCTTTGTAGGAGACAATCTTTGAAGGCTTCACTAGGATGGAAGAGTTTCTCTTTGATGTTTATGACCTCTCTTATTGGGTATACTTTGCCAAATAAATCACCTCTTATTTTTAACAGATTAAGTAATAATAATGAAACGTACGTAGTTTATGTTCTTGTTTACATGCAGGGTTACAGCAAATCAGAATGCATATTTTAGTGGTTTATTCTATGCATCTTCTACAGCAGCCACTGCTATGAGTAATTTGATACCTGCATTAACTTTTGTATTTGCAGCAATTTTGGGGTAATAGCTCTCTATAAGTATAAACAGAAAAATAATATCAGGATTAATAATACAGTGAAAGTAAATTATAGGAATTAAACTAATATGCCTCTAATGAAACTATTATTAATATGATTATTAATATTTCTGTTATTTTGAATGATTAGATTTGAGAAAATCGATCTTCGAAGTTTAAGAAACGTGGCCAAGATATTAGGTACAATTTGTTGTGTTAGTGGAGCCTTAACCATGGCATTTATCAAAGGACATAAGCTGTTACACATGGAGTTTTTTCTTCCTGATTCCATACATCTCACTGCTAGTGGAGATGATACCTGGATTCTTGGTTGTTTGTTGCTCTTAGCAAGTAGTGTTTTTTGGTCATGTTGGATGATTATGCAGGTAAGTTAATAAAACCAGAAATAATAATGTTAATTATAGAGTGACAACATTATTGTTTATCAAGGAACATTTGATTAAAGTTTCAACATAGGTACCGATTTCTTCGTATTGCCCGGATCATATATTATCGACGTTTTGGATGTGTCTATTCGCTACGATACAGTCAACTATATTTGCACTGCTGAAAGAGCAGAATCTTCAAACATGGATTTTACCTTCACCTTTACAAATTTCATGCAGTTTATATGCGGTAAGTCTGTGACAGGTCTCTCAAAAATATTCGGATTGGTATCATTTGATGCAACTTCGTCTAATACTAAAATTGCTATTTTTTGTGGTATAGGGAATTGGAATTGCGGTAAGCTTTTTCATTCAATCGTGGTGCATATCAGAAAGAGGTCCATTGTATTGTGTAATGTTCAACCCTCTAGCAACTGTCATCACAGCATTGGTAGCTGCAACGTTCCTAGAAGAAGAGCTATACGTTGGAAGGTAACACAGGATTATTGTAATGGTATTATTATTGTGTTTGGTCTATTCACTCACATGCATCTACGTTCGTTTTCAGTTTGGTTGGGGCTGTTGGAGTGATCACTGGTTTGTATATTGTGTTATGGGGTAAAGCCAAAGACTTTGATGGGACTAAACAAAAGCTTCCACAATCAAACATGGAGGATGTTGAAAGAAGTAATAGAATAGATTTGGAAGAACCACTTCTTGCAGAGAAATCAGAATCTGTAGCGGAGATAAAACTGGAGCGCTAATGAGTTAAACTAAGGATAGTCTTGGTGAAATTGGAGAAGCAAAAACACTTAGAGTGCGTTTGGTTCTGCGTTTGCTGAATTCGATTAAAAACAAGTTGAACATATATTAATGCAATCATCCTTCTACATTGTGTTGGTGCACAAGGAAGATAAAAGACAAAAGAAATATTTAGTGATAGCTTCAAAAATAAGGATTTACAATGAATTACAATAACTTACTCCACTAGACTATTTATACACACAAATTAAATCTAAAATATATCTTCTACAAAGATATAGGAAGATCTAAGATTTATATCTTCTAACAAAGATATAAACAATCTAAAAGATATTCCTAAATATAAATTAATATCTAATTAAATCTAAATTAATTCTAACAACATCCCTTAATTTATATTTACCCAAAACTGGCAACACCAATTCCATCCCTTAAACCAAGAAATTGATCAGTTTTGATAGCATTTGTCAGAACATCTGTCAGCTGCTTCTGAGTGCTACAGTGCACAATCTCTATTATTCCATTCCGAACTTGATTCCTCAAAAAATGATACTTGGTCTCAATATGTTTGCTTCTCCCATGCAACACTGGATTCTTGGCAAGATTGATTACAGACTTGTTATCAATCATCAGCTTCAGAGGTTTATTCACCTCAATCTTCAGATCTTTCAGCAAGTTCAGAATCCACACAGCTTGACATGCAGTCAGAGCACCTGCAATATATTCAGCTTCACAGGTTGACAGATCAACGACAGGTTGCTTCTTGGAACACCAAGAAATAGGACCTCCCAGAAATTTGAATAAGTACCCAGAAGTACTTCTTCTGTCAACTCTATCTCCGCACCAATCAGAATCAGAATAACTCAGAAGTTCTGATTCGATCTTTTTTCCAGACGGAAATAACACTCCATATTTCAGAGTTCCCTTCACATACCTCAGAATCCTGACTGCAGCTGGGTAATGGGACCACTTTGATTTGCTCATAAATCTGCTAACCATTCCAACTATATAGCAAATATCAGGTCTGGTATTACACAAATACCTTAGAGAACCAACCATCTGTTTGAAGATTGTAGCATCCACATCCTCTCCATCAGAATCAGAATCCAACTTCTGATTCGTATCAGCAGGTGTGATAGCAACCTTGCAATTTTCTAGCTCAAATCTCTTCAGAAGCTCTAGTTCATACTTCATCTGATGTAAAATGATTCCTTTCTCAGAGTATATAAATTTCATCCCTAGAAAGAAACTCATTTTTCCAAGATCTGTCATCTCAAACGCATTCATCAGAACTTTCTTGAACTCAGATATCTCTTGTTCAAAACCTCATGTGAGTAATATGTCATCAACATAAAAACAGACCAGAATCATATTACTTTCTGAAGTATGCTGAACATAAACACCATGCTCCATCTCACACTTCTAAAACCCTTATTCCTTAAAAAACGAATCAATTTTCAAGTTCTAAGCTCTGGGCGCTTGCTTCAATCCATGCAATGCTTTGCGTAATTTGAACACCATCCCTTCCTGATTCTCTTTCTCAAATCCATGAGGTTGTGAAACGTACACCTCTTCTTGTAATGGACCATTCAGAAATGCAGATTTTACATCTAAATGCATCAGAGACCAATTCCTGTTAGCAGCTATTGCAATCACTAGTCTGATTGTTTCATGTCTCACTACAGGTGCAAACACTTCAAAGTAATCCAGCCCAGGCTTCTGTAAGAAGCCTCTTGCTACTAATCTCTCTTTGTGTTTTCCAATTGATCCATCTGGCTTTAGCTTCTTCTTGATAACCCATCTGACGCTGATGACTTTCTTGCCTTTTGGAAGTTCTGTCAGCTTCCAAATATGGTTTCTCTCTATAGCATCAAGTTCTTCTTTCATGGTCTGTAACCAAACTTGGTGCTTAAGAGCCTCTTTTGTACTCACGGGTTCAGAGTCTACTAACATTGCACACTGAATAACTTCTCCTTTAGAGTTTACTTCAGTGTCTAGCAACATGTCAAACTCTGCAAATCTTCTTGGGATACTTCTGACTCTTTGTTGCCTCTGAACTGGACCTTCAGAACTTTGGACACCAGAACTTTCCCCTTGAGAAGATCTTACTTCAGAGTTTTGACTTTCCCCAGAACCTTGACTGTCTTTAAAGTCTTGAAAATTCTTAGGGTCTGAATCATCATCAGAGTCAGAGCCACTACCTTCAAAAATACCATCTTCAAAAGTTGGATCACCTCTGCCTTCAAAAGTTCCACTTTCAGAATCATGATCATCGTCAAAGCCTGAATTTCTTTCCGAAGCTCCTCCTCCAGAAGTTCCACTTTCAGAATCATGATTTCTACCAGAAACATGATCATATTTAGAAGCTTGTCCTCCAGAACCTACGTCTTTAGAGTTTTCCCTTCCATAAGCATGATCACCACCAAATTCTGGATCATCATCAAAATCTGGATCAGAATCAGATTCACCATTTGACTCACCTTCAGAGTTTCCAGAGTCATCATCTTCTGACTCTTCTTCAGAAGCAGAATCTTCTTCAGACTTAGAATCACCTTTGGATTCTGACTTGTCTTCAACTTCAGAGTCATCTTCTAACTCAAACTCGTCTTCAAAAACCTCAGATTCTGACTCATCTTCAAAATCTTCAGCATCATCTTCTGATTCTGACTCAGAGCCATATTCTGATTCTGACTCATACAAAATCACTCCTTCAAAATCAGAATATTCATAGTCATATTCTTCTTCCCCTTCAGAATCAGAAAATGACAATTTCACTGGTTCTTCATCAGATTCATAAGCCATAAATAGCACAGGTTCATCATCTGAATCTCCTCTGACTATATTTGCTTCTTCTGACTTCCTTTCTTTTTTGGACCAGCAATCTCTGGCATAGTGACCAAAGTTCTTGCAACAGTAACACTGAACATTCTTCTTGTTAAAATTCTCCTTTCCCTTCTGGACATTCTTCTGCCTATCAAAATTTGAAGCTTCTGACTTTTGACCACTATTAGTTCTCTTCCTGGCTTCTGACCAAGTCTGCTTCTGATGCTTCTTACCAGAAGTTACTTTCAGAGCCTGTTGCTTTACTTCCCTCTCAGAAGTTCTTGCAGTCATATGCAACTCATGCGCCTCTAGACTAATTTACAGCTCTTCAACTCTCATGGTGCTAAGATCTTTGGAATGTTCAATTGCTACAACAATGTAATCAAACTGAGAAGTTAAAGATCTCAAGATCTTCTCAATAATTACTTGTTCAGACAGAGTTTCTCCACAAGCTTTCATCTTATTAGTGATCAGAATCACTCTAGAGATGTATTCAGAAACCTTCTCATTGTCCTTCATGTTGAGATTCTCATATTGCTTTCTAAGAGACTGAAGCTTCACCTTCTTCACTGATGCGTCACCATCATAACATCTGACCAGTGTGTCCCACGCAGCCTTTGCTGTTTCAGAATCAGCAATCTTCTCAAACACATTCACATCCACACATTGATGGATGTAGAACAACGTTTTCTGATCTTTCTTCCTCAGCGCCTTCTGTGCTATCTTCTGGGTCTCTGTTGCGTCTGCTTCTAACAGATTATAGCCATCAGTGACAAGATCTAACACATCTTAAGAACCAAATAACAAGCGCATCTGGATCTTCCAACAATTCCAGTTTTTGCCATCAAATACTGGAAGCTTGGAATGAATATCGTCGTTTCTGTTCATCTTCTACCTTGTGCAATTTACGCAGAAACTCATTGAAAAATCAATTTTTCCCAAATTCCAGAGTTTCTAACCAGGAGCTCTAGATACCAATTGTTGGTGCACAAGGAAGATAAAAGGAAAAAGAAATATTTACTGATAGCTTAAAAAATAAGGATTTACAATGAATTACAATAACCTACTCCACTAGGCTATTTATACACACAAATTAAATCTAAAATATATCTTCTACAAATATATAAGAAGATCTAAGATTTATATCTTCTAACAAAGATATAAATAATCTAAAAGATATTCCTAAATATAAATTAATATATAATTAAATCTAAATTAATTCTAACACATTGAACCAGCTGTGTTGAGTCAAATTCAATCATCGTGTGGAGCCTGCCACCGAACTTGATGAACCGATATTCTCTCATGCATTTTAATTCTCAACTAATAATTTTGGAATTTCAATGCAATATCAGTTGCTAAATTACTTTGGCATAATAACTAACATAAGCATCCCCATGGTCTCTTTTATTCCTCTGATACCAACGTGTGTGGCAAACAGTAGCCCTAATGGTTTGTCAGTTATCACTCCCTTTTATTTAATTAAATAAGAATGATTTAGTGGGTGGTTGAGTCTTGCTAGAAATTAGAATATTATTTTAATTAATTAATTAATAGAGAATAACAAGAAATTGAGTTACAGGGATAGAATTTTTATTAAAATAGAAGAAAAAAATGGAGTTTTAGAAAATAGAGAAGAATAAGGGTGTAAGGAGAATTGAGGGGTGAGAGGAGATTTGAATTAATGAGAATAAATTAGGATAAATAAATATAGAAAGTGAGATGTAGATTTGACACTACGTGTTTTTGGAGAAAAGAGGAAGAGAGTGGAAAGAGGCAGAAAATCTAGAAATCTCAAAAGACAAAACTTCATCGATTTATAAATTTGAGGTAAGGGGAGATTTATTCATATATGAGTGTTTAAATATAGGTATTGTGAGAGTTCCTTACCCTCCGACCTTCTCTCTTTTCTTTCTTTGTATATAAGATGTTTGGCCAAAACTTACTGTGGCGATTGTTGTGATACTAGTTTAGTGGTTTTTACTTGATCCTTGATGACCTTGTTGTGGTACCTTGTTGATGTCTTTTTATGGTGGAGTTTATTGAATGAATAATGGTTGTGCCTTATGATAAGCCAATCATATATAAATTTGTATGTTTCTCTTTTTGAGTTCTGTTAACATTGGGCAAAATAAGAGAGCTTTGAATATGTTCAATAGAGAGAAAATACAAAAAATCGCAAGTAGACATTGAAGGGGATTGACTTCCTTATTTCATGTGTAACTTGAGTTTCGTAAGACTGTTTGTGGTGTCGTTAGTTAGGTTAGAAATCTAACATGATAATCTTTCTATTAAAGTGGGGAAATTGGGTCTATGAGCGCTACAAAATTAGTAGTTCTCGGGTTTGTATACCAGAGGCGTGGTCAAATTTAGGTCTTGCATTGACCATCTTGTTTCACCCGTAACTTGAGTTTCATAAGTCTGTTTAAGGTGTGCTTAGTTGCGTTAAAAAGAGGTATTAACGATCTTTTAAACTCTAGAATTTGATAATTTTATCATGATTCTATAATTTTGGATGTTATTTTGAAGTCAGACATTCTATTTTAAAGTTTATGCAAGAAATACTTTGATATGGCTAAACTGAAACGAATAGAATTGGAGTTTCATAACTCCGATCGAGATGCGATCAATTTCGTTTGAAAGAGATTTAAAGAAATTTTAAACTAGAGAGTTTCATAATTTTATCACGAGACTATAATATTTGGTGCTATTGTGAAGCGAGACAGTTTTAGAGTTAAGTCTAGAATTTTGGTAAACACTTTAGCAATTTAATAAATTGAATATATTTATAAATAACTTTAATTTGAGTAGTTTAATATGTTTATAGTTGAGTTTGATTCATTTGACATGTTTAGAGCTAAGTTTAACTTATTTGATATTTTTTTTAGTTGAGTTTGAGTTATGTATAGTTAAAAGAATTAAGTTATGAGTAATTTGATGAGTTTGAGTCATATTTTTATTTGTTTAAGTTTGCCAATAGAATTGTGAGAAAAAGCTTATTTGTATCAAAATATCAATTTTGAGTTTAAGTTTTTAGAAAACCCTTGCAAATTACAATGTTTGTATATTTTAGAGTTTAGGGCGAGGGTTTGGAGCAACCCTTGTCAATGGTAATTTAAAGGTTTTGGGGGAACCTTTGAACACTTGAGGAAGTTGTGTATAATTATAAAATAATTGAGTTTTGAGTTGGTTAGAATTGAATTGATTTATTGTGTTGTTTCTATTGAGTTGAGTTTGGATTCGTTGATATGTTTTACACTTATTTGTGAACTCTCTAGACATGCCTTGTTGAGTATTGGTGGGAATAGTTGATAGTATTGTTGAGTATTTTATAATTGTATGGTTATGTTACACTATGATTATGCATATTT